GTCATTCCAGAGAAAACCAAGGGAACCACTTCGTCTACACACCCAGCCGCCTCTCACACAAACACAGCTAATAAACAGTTATTTAAAACAAAACAAGAACATTAGTATTTTATTGGCTTTCCTTGCATCCTATAATGAGACTGACCTGTTTGACTCGGTCCGGGTTGACGGTGGTCTGCGGCTGCAGGATGCTCACCGGCTCTGTCTTCTGGGTGCTCTGAGGCATCTCCCTCACCTTCTCAGCGATGAAGTCATGGACGCCATTCAGTGCCTCCACAGTCCCCTGGATCAGACACACACGCTCTGTTGTGCCTACACAAACACACACAAACACACACACGGATGGGTCAGTGCGTGAGCTTAAACTGGTGGCTAGTGGTCTCGTGATCATCATTTCAAGCAAAGATAAATAATAATCATCACTTGTCACGATATGAAACCATTCGGATGAGTACTTTTCATCTCTTGAGTACTTTTATGAATCAGCGTGCTGTGCAAGCCTGTAAAGCAGGGTGGCAGCAGCACACCACAGCTGAGCGCTACTGCAAGAAACATGCAGAAGAAGACGGCAATCCTTATAATTTAGGCAGCAGTTATTTCTATATTTGCAAGATCTTTTTGAAGTTATGACTGACTGCATCCCAGCTTTTTTCTCAGCATTTCAGAGAGGTTTCTGCAGCTTGATGGGAAAGCACAGAGAGCAGGTAGAGGTTTGATGTAACGCAACTTGAACGTTCAGAATTTTCTGTTTTCATCTTCTTTATGCTGCTGAATGGAAATAAAACCAGCCATGGCACATGCTTCTATTCAAAAAATAACAACGATGAGATAAGAAAAGATCGCAGGAAACTGTAATGATCCCCACTGGGAAATAACACTGCAGCAGCGGGAAATAGCAAAAAAGAGAGAGGGGGTGAAAACACAGAACGATAAAGAAATAGAACAAAAGATCGAAGTGGAGAAAAATGAACTTTGTGTAGGTGCTGTTAAAAAAACACAACAGAAAACCTAATTACAAACTTGTAATTACACAAATAACAAATGAAAGTATTGATTTAATACATCGTGCGTTTGTATATTTGCCAGGGGGAGAGAGAGAGCTGTTCGGAGTCCAAGCTAATTAGCCGCAGTGTCCACGAAAGCTAGTAAAACACGATATCCTTCACCTCACAGAAAACATCAGGGTTCATATTTCCTCTCTCCTTCTTCTGGACATATCAGCATCGCTCAGTTTATGTCTGTTTCCAGGATTTCGTCCAATCAGGAAATTAATCCCCAGGGCACAAGAAAAAAAAATCAAACATGCTGTAATAATTTCCAAGCTTCTGCTTCAGTGTGTACACCACATGTGTGTGTGTGCATTAAAACTGTGCATCGGCTCCAAATAAGCTGGACAAAGTACATCACGCAGAGCTGTGGATGCACGGGGGGATTCGCCCTCCATTCAGCAGGAGAAGAAAATCAAAATGCAGCTTTTAGCTTCAGTTTAACGACGTTTGCATCTGCTAAAGATTAACTGCAGAATTTGTAATAATATACAAAAAACCCACTAAGATGGCTTGTGACAGAATCACAAAGCACATCAGTTCAGGATTAATGTCGTGGACATTATTACCGCGATGCAATTTTAAAGTGTAAATTCAATTGAAAAGCCTGTACTGAATTACCTCTTCACTATATTGTTTCTTGATGTAACAAAAGAGGAGTCAATGCGTAAGATTATGATGATTAATGAGACCGGACAAAAAACACAAATTCTATATGACTTTTTCTTCTTTTTTGTAATGAAATCTGATAAAATAATGCAAAAACTTTTATTAAACTGAACTCGAGCTCCACGGGGCACAAGATGACCTCATAGCAATGTGCTGGAGGAGCAGAACAATGAAAAGCAGATACGTTTCTGCTTAATGAAAATGCATACAATCGCTATAATACACGCTGTATGCAGAGAGAAGGGCAGACAGACACAGAGGAGAATCTAGGCCAATGCAAAGCCTCTCAGACCGGCTGCACTTTAACAACGCACTGAAACTAAATCTCTTTCTTTCTATCATTTACTATCACTCTCTCCTCTTTTTTCTACTTTTTTTTTGTCCTCACACACACTTTCTTCCTCACTCTCTTCCTCCATCCCTCTCTATATCTCCCTTTATTTATCCCTATTTCTTCCCCCTCTCTCATCTCTCTCTTTCCCCCTCCCCCCTTGAGTCCAGTACTTAGTAGGATCTGGTCTTATCTCGGCCCAGCAGCGTGTCATTTAGCTCTTCCTGTCCCTCGCCTCTCCCTGCATTGTTGGACCGTCTCGGTTTGGCCCAGCTTGGCCCTGTGTGGCAGCACTGGAGAGGAGGGATTGTGGGTTTTAAACTGCTATATTTGTGCAAGGGTGTTGGGAACTGATGACATATTGCGGAAGCCGAACAAGAGCTTCTTCAGCCAAGAGAGACTGCTTCAGTGCTTTTAGGGTTTTGTTTGTAAAATTCTGCACAAGGAAACATTTCTAAAGGGTGAATATGTTAATTAGTGCACAGCCCTCGGATGAAGAGCTGCACACGCAGGATGAAGAGGTTGTGACAACTGACACTAAAAATAAAACACACAGCACATTACGCATTTGCAGAATTTGGCTACCTGGCCTTGCCGAACCTTTGCAATGCCTGTTAGCGTTACAGCGGTATTACTTTCCATTCCTATTTTTACAGTTTGGTGACAGCAGTGACAAACAGCCTCTGATGACAGCAGCTGAACGCTTCAGTTTGAGCGTGACGACAGGCCAACAAATCAAGCTAAACATTGGCAGTTCTCAGTTGTAGCCACGCGCTACCGTTGTGTTGGTGAACGTTTCTTTCTGCTTTTTAGTGAGTATCAGCGAGCGTGTGTCTGTGTGTGTCTGTGTGTGTACGTGTGTGACGATACTGAGGAAACTGGGCCTCGTCTCTCCCTGACAGCTGGTGCCCTCTGGGTAATCTGGACCTGTCCAATCAGAAGCAAGGATTAGCAGGCCATTGTCTTGGCATGAGTGTGCGAGTGTGGGTTTGTCTTTATGTGTAGATTGTAAATATGGGTACATGCGTGTGTGTGTGTGTGAGGCTGTAGCAGAAAAGGCCATTCTGTCACTGGAGATCACATTGAAGCTGCCGTACAGCTGTGCTGCACCAACAAAGACCTGCTTAGTCCCATTACAAAAATATTCACACAGAGATCAGTGAATATGCATTTAATACAAAACACATTGTGCTTTTCATTGCAGGCCAAGCGGATCCCAAAGCACTGCTAGAATTTCTTGCACACCTTTTTTTTCCCAGACTGGAATCATGAAATAGTCCCCGAGTCATTTTTGTGTTAGCAAAATAAACTTTTTGGTTTTTGTGGGTAATTTCACATAATCAAGTGTGGCACTCTAATGTGTAACAGCACTCTAATCACCATCTTTGCCCTAACACTTTCTGGAAATGACACTCAGATTGATTTTCTTTCCTCACTTTTTAGCATATTGGATTTTAAGGAAAGGATATACGGATTTTTGACTTTTGAGGCAGTGAATCGAGCTGTGAAGCAAACAGGAAGTAGGCTCATATCTCAGCAACTGTTTCATGCATTGACATTAAACTTGGTGCATAATTTGAAGCAATGGGGTTCATCATCACCGTGACACATTACCACTCATGTAAAGTTATTAAATGTATGCATCCAGCAGATATGGAAAAA